TCATCACCATCCCCACCATCCTCGCCCTCGTCGAACACACCTCTTTTCCCTCGACTCCGACGTCCGACCCCTCCTCCCCGAACTCGCCAGCCTCCCCATCCTCCGTGGTTTCCACCCCACCACCGGCGCCCCCGTCCTCCAAGACCCCCCCAACACCCCCATCACCCTCCGCCACCTCCTCACCCACACCGTCGGCCTGGCCTACGACCTCGCCGACCCCGACCTAACGAAATGGTCCGCCTGGATCGGCCGCACCGACACCAATCTCCACCACACCCTCGCCGGCTGGACCACCCCGCTCAAATTCACCCCCGGCCACGGCTGGCAGTACGGCACCGCCATCGAGTGGGCCGGCCAGCTGGTCGAGCGCGTCACGGGCCGCACTCTCGGCGCGTACCTGGAGGAAACCGTCCTCCGCCCGCTGGGCTTGGCCGATACCACCTTCCACTCGGCCTCGAAGCCGGATCATGATAAGGCGGGGTGTACAAGGCGGGATCCTGTGACGGGGTTGCTGGAGATGTGTCCGCTGCCGGTGCCGCTGGAACCGCCGGTGGAGAGTGCAGGTGCGGGGTTATGGACCACGGCGCGGGACCATGCGCGGATGTTGAGGGCGTTGTTGGCGATTTCGGAGGGGGGTGAGGAGGGTGGGGTGTTGAGGAGGGAGACGGTGGATGAGATGTTTCGTCCGCAGCTGGATGAGGTGCAGCGGGCGGCGCTGCAGGATACGGTGAGTCGTCAGCATGATATGATGGTGCCGGAGTTTCCGCGGGGGATGGTGGTGCAGCATGGGATTGGGGGGCTGATGAACGTGGAAGATGTGCCTGGGAAGAGGAGGGCGGGGAGTATGCAGTGGGTGGGCATGGCGAACTCACACTGGGTAAGTGGTTTTGTGCGGTCGTTGGGATGGGAGATGGAGTGACTGACAGACAACGGGGATAGTGGATCGATCGAACGACGGGCATTGCGGCGACGCTCATTGTGAATGTGGACCCGTTTCCGGATGGTGTTGTTATTAAGCTGTACGACGAGCTTGAAAAGGCTGTGTATGGGGAGTTGTTGGCGAAGCTGCGGAGATAGATAAGCGGAAGGCCGACGCTCATTTCATGACCTTTGCTCATGAGAGAAAACCGAACTTTTCATAACAACAGTGAGAGAATGCCGGCAATGCCAACCTCGTGACCTTGGCTTTGGACCTTTATACTCAAGGTGTGAGCCCAAAACCGGACTTCCCCAATCCAGACTCGGTCATCGATATGGTCGAATCTTGCCCTCCACCCCGGGAAAGACGCAGGACACGAAGAATTTGAAACGTACCTTGGAGGGCGTTATCCTAAGGGGCGGTGAAGACGTTGAATGCATGACCGGGGTAACAGAGCCAGCTCCAGCATGGCAGCTGCACCCAGACATGTCGGTATTGATCCTGAAGTCTACCACTCTAGGGAGCATGCCATGGCGAGCCAAAGCATGAACGCCGCCTCGTCTATTGAGTGCAACCACTCAGGCAGCTAGTAGACAATCTGTGGCGTTAGTATCCAGGGGAACGTGTTAGTTCGTTCCTCGTCTCCCTGAGCGCAGCCAGCAGTGTAAGTCACATTCACGGAGATAGTAAAGAGGGAATGGAGCAAGGACTTGATAGCCAACGATGATGCTCCCTGGGTTGCAGTTCATCACAGGTCCACTCACCACTGCTGCTCCTTGAGAAACGCTAACTCCCTTCTCCACCATGAGCTAAATCTATGAAACTTAAGGATTCGTCTGTCAAGTGAAGGTGCTGGACCAATCTTGGTTTACATTATGCCTTTTAGGGAGCTCTACTGATGTACCGAGTTGAGTTGAGGTCAATGGCTTACTAAAAGTTTGAGATGAATAGGCACAAGGCGGAAGGAAAAAAAAAAAGGGGAGGGCGGGGGGGGGCTTGACTTGAGGCCAATCAAATATCTAACGGTTTCGGACCGTCATAGGGAGTAGAGAACATGGGATTGGGACCCTAGGGAGACGGTTAGGGCAGGGTCTGGTACCAGGGACAACTTACAAGACGGGGCTCTTAGAAACATGAAATGAATCATGCGGGGAGAGGCCAGTGATTTGAGGTCGTTGCCCTTACCCTCCTAGTCTCAATCATATAGAGGAAATAGCCGCACACACTTCCATAATATATCTTCCCATGTTATAAATCTCATCAACTTCAGATACTGAGATAAGAAAAACTAGCCCACGCTAAGTTCAGTGCACTCTATCGCCCTAACAAGATGGTGGCAAAGACCAACCTCCCTAACTTTCAAACCAGATGTTCGATACAGGTAGCTTTTTCGCTTCGATAAAGTCCAGTGCTCTGATAACGAAGATATCAAGATCACGTACCTAGACGGCAAGGTGGTCTGATAAGAGAGCGGGGAGCTGACTGTCAGCAGAAACGGCACCAAAATTCAGCTCCCGCCGCAGCTCTCTCGTTCCAGCTAGCGCGGGAAAAGTGGCCGGTTCTGCAGAAACTGCATGCCGCAGACCAGTGGCAGAGTTAACTCGGCTCTAGGGCCGCTGACTAAGATTACTCTTCGGCTCCTTTCAAAAGTTAAATGGATGGATTGGGATTGAAGTTGGTTTCACATCCTCGTCCGTTTTGAATGGAAGGATGGGGTCAGGCACCTTGCACCAAATTTGTTCAACTGCCAAAACAACCTGCCAACGTGTTATTACTCCCTCCCCTTTTTCTCATTCACCAGCCTCATCTCAGACCGTCTTGCTAGATCAACTTGCGGGCCTCTTGTAGAAAGGGTTAGGGTCTGCCTCAACCTCCAGCGTCAGCAACTCGCTGCGATACCCCGGGCCCACATCTGAGTCACCCGAAGTCGGAGAAGTGTAACAACGGACGACTCAGCGGAGCAACAAAAAAATCGAACTTGGCAAGCGATTGATTGCTTGCTTCTCTGGAGCTCACCCGAACCAACAAAAAAGCCCAAGGATTATTCATTTAGTTGTGCACCCCCCAGCACCAAGTGTCGCAACTTCTTTAGTCATTTGACCGGCCCCCATCCTCATCTCCCCCCATCCTCATTGGTATCTCACCATGACTGCACACGGGAACCTCGACATCCGGCCAACCGTGGCTGATGCCCAGAGCCTGTTCGAGCAGACAAAGACCTCGAGCCCCAAGCCTACCCTGCTGCCCGTGTGCATTACGGTGCCTTCCGACCTACTAACACCTTCAGCGACCTACCTGAAGCTGTCAAATGGGTATGCAATCCGAATTGAATGCACCGTCGACCTGCACGGACCGGGGCGCAACTGACTCACATTCACAGCGCCACCGCCGAGTACTCATTCCTCCTTGAGAGCGCCACAGGAAGCACCGAAACGGTTGGGAGGTACAGCTTCATCGGGGCCAGTATGTGCTTCTCAAAATCAATTGATGGGTTTTTCTTACCACTAACATACATGCAGACCCGAGGAAGGTCATAGCGACCGGGCCCGGTTACGAGGATGTGGGGGACCCGCTCCGCGCCCTCGAGACGGAGCTTGGCCAGGACAGGGTGATCAACATCCCCTCGCTCAAGCTCCCTAGCTTGACTGGCGGTGCCGTCGGCTATGTTTCGTACGACTGCATCAAGTACTTTGAGCCCAAGACAGCCCGCGCCCTCAAGGACAACCTCCAAATCTCAGAAGCCCTCTTCATGCTCTACGACATCATCGTGACTTCGACACTTCTTCAGTCTCACCATCACCACTCACATGCGCCTCCCCGAGGA